GTCTGAGTGCGCACAAGCAATATCGGAGTGAGAGGACAGGCAGTTCATTTGTATAAGTTAGGCCTATTTGAGAGCTCGCATCCAGTTTTCTGCGATTACATGACTGTGTTCTCTTGTTACAATAAAGTGCTCGCCACATTTGCGAATGATTAAAATTATGCAGAATACCTGCAATCCTGCGCGGATATTCAGACTCTGTAATTGACAGGAGGAAATTACACTAAGCTCCCTCACTGTCTGATCAGCTCTTCAACCCTGCTGCAGCGGTGGCTTTTCCTGGTTCAGATATCAGGACCAGGGGTTGCCAGGTTTTCACAACAAAACCCGTCCAATTGCTCTTCAAAACTAGCCCAAAACTACCCCAACCGTGTTCTGGGGGGTAAAACACACGTAAAATACACATTTGGCAGGGTTACCCTGGTAAAATTCACATTCCAGGGGCTAAATATCACGTTATCGGGGCCGCTTCAAAAAACAACGCGCTGCAACCGTGTTAAAGTAGCCCAATTCCGCGGGAAACCGTGGACTTGGCAACACTGATCAGGGCTTTTATTGGTTCCTTTACGATCGAATGGCTTTATCTTATTTTTATTGGCTACAGAAGTTCCGTCAAAGGTTTGAATATCAATTCAAATTGTGGGTGTACTCGGTAACAAACTATGATTTAAAAGAAACAAAGTAGATTATTTTGCTTAATTTGTACTTAAGTACAAGTGAAAGTACAGCTTTAAAAATATGCTCAAAAAAGTACAAGTACCCGAAAAAACGACTTAATTACAGTAACGCGAGTAGTTGTAATTCATTAACTTCACCACTGTAAATTCGACACAAATACCCACATTTCTGACACAATACCATGGGGTGCACTCCCGTGCGGGGTTGCTAGTCCCCCATCGGGTGCCTCCCAAGGTGGCGGATTGGGGAACGCCTCCCAGATATGGGTGATACAGAGAAAATGAAATACTCGGGGTGGACCAAAACTAGCTAGGGGGTCAGGGCCCCGATTAAAAACCTGCTGGTCCTCCA